CCATCCATCCATCCATCCATCTGTCTGTCTGCTTTCTAAGAGTTCAGATGCTTCTTGAAATATTGTCAACAAGCTTGACATGAGGGTTCCCAGGGTGAGGGTGGAAATCTTCGTCGATGTTTGGATTCCAGGCACCATTTTGAATCAAGATGGTATGATTTTGTCTGAATGATAGGTCCAAACTCACAAATTACACTATCCATTTTCAAATCACAGATTATTTTCCCCCTACAAATTTCCAGGCAGCACCAGGCACTCCCTGATAGTAGTGAAAGTTTTCAAGCCAAGCAAAAATTAGTGTTATCTCTCAGTTCTGGGCCCTTTCTCTAGTTCTTCTCCCAAAAATTATGAGGCTAAAACACTGAAACTTCAGGCTAAACCCCAAGTCGTGGAAACCCTATTGTCCCAGTTGTTCCATAGACTTGCATTTTTGTCCTGGCATTGTCTCAAATTACAGCTGGTCCAAGTAATCAACATGAGCTATCCTGGCTTTCCCCCCCAAGTATGTGCCTATATGAATAAATGCAATGCATCAGCCAGTAGGCCGTGGATGTTATCTGTAAGGACACAGAAGCCACTGCAATGTGGCTCTTCTCACCCTCCTGATGTCTGAAAGATAGTGTCACTAACATGCCATGCCAAGGTCACTAACTCCCACTTTTGGAGCAACGGGAAGTGACAACACCACGGGCCTCAGTCATGTGATTGTTGACCTCTTAACGTGCTGAGTTGTGGGCACAGAAACAGCCACAACAGAAACAGCAGCTAACACACCACTCACTGCACAAAACTACTGTTCACTTTGCAAGCCTTAATCTACAGCAGTTCACACAGGTCTACCAGTTCACACATTAGCTTTCTCCACCTAACTTCCACATGGAGATGGAGAAATGTGTTGTGTGAATTGGCACTAAGTGATCATGTTTTGGAATATATACATACACACACACACACACACACACACAAGTTTAACTTTTGACTTCTCCTGCCAAAGAAATTTAAAAACATTTTTATGTATGCGACAACGGCGGCAAGAGTCTTAATAGCACAAGGATGGAAGAATGAAGAAACCCTGACGAAAGAACTGTGGCAAGAAAAATTGATGGATTATGCGGAATTGGCAAAATTGACACACAAACAACGTGACAAGGATAACTGTGACTGAATGGGATCCTTTTACGAAATATTTGAAGAAACAACAATACGAACTGGACTCTTTGGCAGGTTTTGAATAAACATTCACAAAATCTTTATTGGTAATATATAGACAAATAAATTGAGGATCTTTACAACTCTATAACATGCAGATAAAAAATATATGTTGAGAAAGCAGAGATAGGAGTTGAGGGAAGTCAGGGGGTGGGTATATGTTCGGGGGGAGAGGGAGGGGAAAATGGGGGAGAAATAATGTGGATGATGTACTTTCGTTAAAATTATTGTGTTGAAATTCTTAATAAAAAATGTTTTTTTAAAAAAAAAAACTTTTGACTTCTTAGAAGATGGTTATCTGCTTGACCTTCATCATGAGGAAAGAGATTCTCCACCTATAAGCAGAATTTAGCTATGAGGCAAATTTTCAAGGACAAGGAAAAAGAGAGCCTCAAGCTGAAAGCAACGTTAGCTGCTCTAAGCCCTTAGATCCACTTTGACAATCCAGATTCTCTGAGTCATGTGTAGGATAAAGCTGCCCTTGAAATGACTGTCATCTCATTGAATCAATGACAATGGATAGTATTGTTGCCCAGTGAATAAACTTTCTTTGTCAGCATGTCTTAAGTGCCAACAGAATTGGCACTTGCATAAAGAGAGAGGCAGAGATAAACAGCAACCTCTTTTTAGAGGTGACTCCTAGCACAGCAAATCTTTTATATACATCTTGTGCGATTACAGGGTATTGACTAGTTCAGATACAGTCCTAAACCATAGTTTAGTGTTAAGAGTGGGACCAGACATCTCTCCACCAGCCCTCTGGGCTCATGCAGTTCCCCTTGCCATTTAGTCACAAGGAGAAGTTGAAAGCTTTCGCTTCTGGTTTAGATAAACTGCTGCTTGCTATGTTGTCCAAACCAGGACAAACTGTGTTAAATCATAACTATAGTCACTGGAAGGAGGCCAGCTTCAAATCGTGTTTTATAAAGCTGGTTTGATTCCACTTACAATGAGTAAGATTAGCCACTGCTCAGGTTTCAAATTCCATATTAAACCGTGGTTAGTCAAAAATGAAAATGGAGATTTCCTTGTTGTTGCACCAGAGAACAAAAGAGGTGGGGGAGGTCTCCAATCCAGGAGGAGACTAGGCTTTTTTTAATATAGCAGTAAACCATGGTTTAGTATTATGCCCCAAAACAGTGGTACCTCTGGTTACATACTTAATTCGTTCCGGAGGTCCGTTCTTAACCTGAAACTGTTCTTAACCTGAAGCACCACTTTAGCTAATGGGGCCTCCCGTTGCTGTCGCGCCACCGCCACGTGATTTCTGTTCTCATCCTGAAGCAAAGTTCCTAACCTGAGGTATTATTTCTGGGTTAGCGGAGTCTGTAACCTGAAGCGTATGTAACCTGAAGCGTATGTAACCCGAGGTATCACTGTACGGCCATTGTTTCAATGGCTTAAGTGTGCTGTTATTATTATGGGGGCTTCTGTAGGACTAAAAAATGTATAAAGCATACTTCTATTTCAGAGCATTTTATTTGTCATTTTGGGTTGTTATATTCATTTTTTAACATTTATTTAAGTGCTCTCAACATGCTACTTTGATTTTTATTTAAAAGGGCATTCAGTATATATGAATGACTATAAGGACATTTTAACTGTTTTGTCATTGAACATGGGCTGCCTTATATGGGATATCTGTAATGGTAACTGATTCTCGAGAACAAAATACACCTTGTACCAGGGTCTTGTCAGTTCCTGTCCCACAAAGGCCCATTTTCTCTTATACTTCCACATTCCAAGGTGCAGAAAAAGGGAAACAGGAAAGAGGAAGACACTGAGAATTCCTAGTTGGAGGGACCTAAAATGGAGATGTGGCTTTGGAAGGCCAACGCAGTTGCTCATTGGGATCTGCTACGGGCTCCTTTTCCTCCACTGTGTAATCTGCCTCCGCATTTGCAAATAAAGCAAGTATTGAAAAGGTGCTCTTTCACTCAAAGGAAACTAAATCTGACGGCATCCACAAAGTTCTCAACCCTTTGAAAACTGGGGACCATGTAATACTACTTTTGCATGTGAAAAGTTAGAAAAATGGATCTGACTTAGTGATAATATCACCCATATGGCTGGCACAGATTATTATTATTATTATTATTATTATTATTATTATTATTATTATTAGCTACCCTTCACCAGAGGGACGCGGGTGGCGCTGGGACTCGGGTGGCGCTGTGGGTTAAACCACAGAGCCTAGGACTTGCCAATCAGAAGGTCGGCGGTTCGAATCCCCGCGATGGGATGAGCTCCCGTTGCTCGGTCCCTGCTCCTGCCAACCTAGCAGTTCGAAAGCATGTCAAAGTGCAAGTAGATAAATACGTACCGCTCCGGCGGGAAGGTAAACGGCATTTCCGTGTGCTGCTCTGGTTTGCCAGATGCGGCTTAGTCATGCTGGCCACATGACCCGGAAGCTGTACGCCGGCTCCCTCAGCCAGTAAAGCAAGATGAGCGCCGCAACCCCAGAGTCAGTCACGACTGGACCTAAAGGTCAGGGGTCCCTTTACCTTTACCTTTACCCCTCACCAGAAGATTCCAGGGAGTGATACAGCAACACTGAAAACAGTTTAAAGCAAATTACAATCACAACTAGAGTGGGTCCTAAAAACGTCTCTTAAAGGCGAGTTGCATCTTCAGCATCTGACAAAAGCTGCACAATGAAGGTGCCCAATGCAGCGTTGTGGGAAACAGGGGTGAACGAAGGCTAACCGACACCAGGGGCTGGGCAAATGGCCGGCTGTGCACACATTGCGCCGCTACGTACGACACATGTGTGGTGTCGCTACATAGGGCACATGTGTGGCGTTGCTATGTACAGCACACGTGTATGACACAGCACATGTGTTGTATGTAGCGGTTTGCCACCGGCACCACCCCAGTGCCGTACGGACAGTGGCGGGATATTCTGCTCATGGCTGCAGCAGTGGCAGAGGGATCCTCCGATTGCGGCTATAGCAGCGCCGGAGGGATCCCACTGCCGTCAGTACGGCGCTCGGGCGGCGCCGGCGGCAAACCACTATGTACAACGCATGTGCAGGGTCACTACATACAGCACATGCGTGTGACAGGGTGCATCCGTTGTAGGTAGCGGTTTGCCACCGGTGGCACTCGAATGCTGTACAGATGGTGGCGGGATCCTCTGCTTACAGCTGCAGCTGCGAACGAAGGATCCTCCACGTGCGGCTGCGGTAGCGCGGTGGCGGGGCGAGCACCCCACAGGGTGCCTTCTTGTCACCCCTCCAGACACGGCACCCGGGGGAAACTGTGCCCCGTGCCCCCCCCCCTTGTGACACCACTGGTGAGCAAGGAATTCCACAACTTAGGGGCTGCAATGGAGAATGCCCTCTCCTGGAAACTTCTGAGAGCAGTGGAACTACCAAGAGGTTTGGGTTAAGGTGTGCTATTTTATTATATGTAATTAAATATGGGTCCTGCTTTTCTACCTTTAAGGCCTTTCAAGCACCTTTGGTGCCACAATATAATAAATCTTCATATCCCTAAACTCAGCACAACCTCTGGCGTCAACAATCTTCCTTTCTCCCTCATGAACCATCAGCCATTGGCAAGATGACTTTGAAGATGATGGACAGGCCAGCCAAGGGGTTGCTCTGGATTTGCAGTTATTCCTAAGTGTGTCATAATAGCCAATTTCCTGGGAGGGCAGCAAATGGTCTTGTACCAGAGATGGGTCGTTGAAAAGAGTTAAGAAGCATTCCTTATGTTGCCCGGAGACCCAGAGCCACTGCCAGCTTATCAGATGATTAGCAGAAAAAGACTCCAGCATAAATCTAGGGAACCATTTCAGCCCATGTGAGGAGAAAATAAAGGGAGGAAACATCAGTATTCAAGACCCTGATTCGGAGAATTTCAAATGTAAGTAAAGGATGGTGGGGAAGCCAGCTTGCTTCAGCTAAAAGTATGTCAGCAGTTCATTCCTGAATCCCATTATTCTGAGATTCATACTTTACACATAAATATCATTCACCCTGGGCTACAATATGGAATACCAAGTCTTGGCCCATTAGCGGTTTCCTTAAGCAGGTTCTCATAACTCTTTCCAACTATACAAATATAAGAAAAATACAAGAAAAATGTAGCCCTGGTAAAAGTGCATTTTATATTCACATGCTTCTTATGAAAATATGCCTGTAAATGGTCTGCAGTATTTTAGCTGAATCAGGGGAAATGACCTATAATCTAAGTATAATTTTGAGCTGCTTGTGGTGGTTGTGAATGTTTTGTTCTGTTATGTGTCCATTAAGGCTGAGCTGGATATGAAATTGTTGTGTGTGTGTGACCAACACAGAATATCACATCATTTCCTGCAAGAAACCATATTGGCTGCATAATATCACATGAAGGGCCATCTCTACCATTCAGCTGAAAATAATGACCACAAAATGTTGCCACAGTCCTAGTATTGATGTGTAACTGCCAACTGTGCTGGTCACACAGAAGGGTAAAAAGTATCACCAGCAAAGCAAATTGATATGATATTTATTCTGCGTCCGTTGATTAAGATCCAGACCACACTAACTGCTCTGAAACCAGAATGACCGTTAGGGTTTGATTCAGCAGCTGCTTGCCAGTTACACCATTTGTTGCTCAATAGGAAAGTAGTTGAATGGACAAGACTGGATAGCTCAGAATTATAGTTCAATTACAGTGGTACCTCGGGTTACATACACGTCAGGTTACATACGCTTCAGGTTACAGACTCCGCTAACCCAGAAATATTACCTCGGGTTAAGAACTTTGTTTCAGGATGAGAACAGAAATTGTGCTCCAGCAGCAGCTGGAGGCCCCATTAGCTAAAGTGGTGCTTCAGGTTAAGAACAGTTTCAGGTTAAGAATGGACCTCTGGAACGAATTAAGTACTTAACCCGAGGTACCACTGTATAGATCACTTTGTTCCCCATGTCAGAGAGGCAGCAGCAGAGCCTTTGCCCGTGCTGCGCAGGGCGGGCGCGCTCCCGAGGGGCACAGAGGGTGCCCTCGCAGGTGCGGGATAGCCGCCCGGGTGCACGGAGCGGCACGTGTGCCCTGCAATCAGGGGCGGAGCGAGCTGCCCATGGGGGCAGAGCGAGCTACCGATGGCGGACATTCGGCGCACCGCCCGCCCACGACTCCCAAGCCTTCCCCACCTGTCAAAACAAAGGGAGAAGGGGGGAATGCCATCGGCAAAGTGGCGCAGCTCCCCCAACGGCTCAGGGTAGGCTTGGGAGTCGCGGGTGGGAGGCGTGCCAAATGTCACCCCCCCCTCCCCGCGAAGACACCCGGGGCGGTCCACCCCTTCTTCCACCCCGTAGAGAGAACGAAACATTCTTCTTGCCTCTCCATCATATATGCAAGATGGAATGTTGTTTAGTCATTTAGTCGTGTCCAACTCTTCGTGACCCCATAGACCAGAGCACGCCAGGCACTCCTGTCTTTCACTGCCTCCCGCAGTTTGGTCAAACTCATGCTGGTAGCTTCAAGAACACTGTCCAACCATCTCGTCCTCTGTCGTCCCCTTCTCCTTGTGCCCTCAATCTTTCCCAACATCAGGGTCTTTTCCAGGGAGTCTTCTCTTCTAATGAGGTGGCCAAAATGGAATAGTCCCCTTTAAAGTCTGTAAGATTGCAATCACATACCAGCCAGTATTGGAAAAATGCAGAAGACAGAAGCACCACTTCCTACCTGCCATGACCCCACTTTGCACAAGGCCCTTCCTCTGGACAAGGGCTCCTCTCCCTTGGACCACCTACAGTGGAGCTTTTAAAAAACACAACCTAATTTGTATTTCATTGTAAAAGGTTAACTTAATCCATCACAAGTGAACTTCTTATTGGCCTCTTGGGACGTCTGTTGTTCAAATTATTTCCTTCGTGAATAAATCGTTCATTAACTTTGGCCTCAATTTCTATTTTTGGATAGCTCTTGATATTTTCAAAGGGATTAAAGGCTACTTGTGAATCATTCAATGTAAGTCCTGCATGAGAATCTCTCGTTAATTGTGCTTGATTGGCCATCAAGCAGCGGTTATCAAGTTCTGTACACCTTCGCCCATCTGTTGATTATAACTAAGGATGGGCAAATCTGTCAATTTTGGTTTCTCTCAGTTTCTCATTTCTCCAACCCTAAATTAATTACCCAACATTTTTGCATCAGTTAGCTATTTTTTAAAAGAAGTCCTTATAAAAAATTCATCAGCATTGTAGTATTATGAATTTCCCCTAGTTTGCACATTTTTTGTAAAGCAATTTCCCCTAATATGCATGTCATTTTCACTGATATACGAAGTTTTATGCCCACTTCATCCCAGTATATGCATTTTTTAATATATTACTTGGCTGGAGAATTGCAGAATTCGGGGAGGTGCAAATTTCAAAAGACAACTGAGTTTCAGTTCTCACCTTTGTCATTATATGGGAACAGAATCAGATTTCTCCCCCATTCCTATTTATGAATAATGGTTAAAACACCAGAATTCAGAAAATGTATGAGAATTAGCAACAGGCAGGCTGGGGGTCAATACTCCATGGGATTTCCATCTGGGTTCAATAATAAGCCTTCATCCCAATTCTCCCAGCGCTTAACACACCTCAGGCACCTTGTCTTGTAACAGGTGAGGTAAAAGAGGAGGAAATCTATAAGTTCTTCCTCTCCAGTATGACTAGTAACAGAAGTCTTGGCAAATCACCCCCTCCTTATGATAGGCTTCAAGGACACAGTCCATCATAAAGGCAAGTAGCTTGTTAATCCCTCCCCTTACAGTGATACAGGCTATGTCAGAGTCCATTTCTTATGTATCTCAACTTCTCATTCCCATCTGCCTGTGCTTTGGTGCCTACAGAGGACTAGTCAGCTGCTTTTGTACTTGATGATGGTTCTATCAAAGCTTCTGTTGCGCACCTGGGAAGAGCATTAGACCACTTTTTGCTTGAACTGCAGCTGGTTCGGACTGAGTCAGAGGGGAGAGCAAAAGGGTTGGTTCTAATTTCAAAATGTTGACCAAGTAGGATACAGGTAGAAGTGGGCAGACCCCGTTATTCTTAAGCAGTGTTGAGGAGCCCATAGCAAGAATCCCACAAGGACATCACAATTATTTCCCACTCCTTTCGTTATTATTATATCAACCAACCTTCCATGTTCAGATTGAGAGATTTCTCAAGTGTATACATCCTTTACTTATAATGTGGCTCCTCCTCCCTTCCTGCTTCACCTCTTGCTTTTGAGTAAGTTAAACCCTTCCGTTCCTATATTCCAATCATGAACCTCGCCCCACCAGGTTTTGGTAATTCCATTAAATCTTATTGGCCTTCCTTTAATATTGTAAATTCAGTATGCTTATTTCCCATAATCCATTGTTCTTATTTCCCATAATCCATTATGCTTATTTCCCATAATCCATATACAGTGGTACCTCAGTTTTCGAACGTAATCCATTCCGGAAAACCGTTCGAGTTCCGAGACATTCAAAAACCAAAAACTCAATACAGAAGCCTCAATGCGGAAAACTCAATACGGAAGCCACATGGCATGTTTGACTTCCGAAAAGTGTTCAAAAACCGAAGCATTTACTTCCAGGTTTACGGCATTCGAAAACCGAAACGTTCATCAATGGAGACATTTGAAAACCGAGGTACCACTGTATTTGCATAGGGACACTGTAAACCATTGCACTCTTCCTGTTTTTAATTGCATATCAGTACATACCCAGGTCTACATCTCAGTTTGCTGTCCCCACACAAGATATGGTGTTGTCGTCCAGGATCCCACTGCTCTCCCTTGTAGGGCATAGTTTAAAGCCCCCCTGATGAAACTCCTGCCAAACACTATTTTCCATGTCCTCATGAGGCGACACCCATCTCTCACCAGAGGTCCTTCATCACTGACCATGATCCAAGAATCCAAACTTTTTCTGATGACAATACGGTCAGTCACTAACTTCCAACTTTCTTGCCTCTCTTCCTAGGCCACGACTTTCAATTGGAAGCAGTGATGAAAACACCACATGAGTGCCAAGGTCTGTCACCTTCATTGTCTCTTGAAATACGTTCAGAAACTGGGTTTGGCAGTATCATTTGTGGAACAGCAGGAAAGGCTTGTGGACAGTGGTCTGGATGAGTCTTGGCAAGCATTTGATCATATCCTGGGTACACTCACTAAGGAGACAATACACTTCCACTGGAAAACTATCAGGAGAGCACACAGTTGCCTCTGTTCCTCTTAATTTAGAATCACCAATTACCACCAAATGTCTCCTCAACAGTTAAGTATGCAATAGCCGTTAATAGAACCTATAGGTACGGTATTTCCAACTGATGGGGGTCATGCCTTTTATTTTGCCGGACAATTCCAAGCCATCTTTAATTGCAATTAAGTGAAAACAACAACAATATCATCAACAGCAGCAACCAAGAAAAAGCTAAGCTACAAAATGAGCTGTAGCCTAAGCACCGTAACCAATGATACAGTCATGCTATGGTTAATAATAAAATGGTAATGTCATATTTCAACAAATGGCATTCTGTCTGGAACGGCTGTTGTGAAAACTCTGTGCTTGCTTTTGCAACTATATTTAGAAACGGATTGCAGATCAAAGTTAACAGCTGTATTTCAAAGTAGGGAGCGTGACAGCTGGTAGAAAGAAATGCAACAGAGCCATCTAATGGAAGAAGCAGAAATCTGCCTTTCAGAGTCACTGAAACTACAATCCTATAAACAATTCCTGGAACTGTCTCGTTAAAGTCGACAGGTCTGACTTCTGAGTAGACATGCACAGGACTGCATTGCATGTATACCAAAGGCCACTTTTGCTTTTGCTTCCCTGGCTGATATATGGGTGTGTGGACTAGTTAGTTCTGTATTTCCTGGTATAAAGTTGGCACAGCCCTTCATCTGCAATTATATCTTTTGTAGCATGCTACAGGCAAACAGCAATAAAAAAGGAAAGTAAAAGAAATTCAGTGTAGCAGCACCTCCAATTTGGGAATGATATTCAAGATCGCGTCCTCACGCCCTGGTAGACATGCCAACAAAATTAAGGTGTTATGCCTAGGATCACAGAGCTCCAATCAATTAATCGACCTCCAATGAGCTATGGCATTGTTATTTAAGAGAACACAGCTGCATGATAGTTTCTTCCCAACTCAGTGCTTTAGTACTAAGATGAAAGACTGCAACCTGTTCTTTAAAAAAATTCTAGGGAGTAAATCCCATGCTATCTGCATTGTCCAGCCTGTACTGAATTCCACTTCCATCTATCATCACGTGAAAAGAAGGGACTGAGGACCTGGCAAAGTAGGTCCTCTGAGACCCAGCTGGTTATGAGGTGCATGCATGTCCAGTCCCTTAAAAAAACAAAATAGTACAGATACACCCTTTAGTGTTTGCAGTATGGTACATGCTACACAGCAGAAAGGTGCCATGGCCTCTTACCAGCCTACCAAAGGGATGCTTCACACAGGAGAGGATTAAAGCCCTGCTGAAAAAGATGCCCATAGGAAGCCCACAAGCAGGATCTGAATGCAACAGCATTTGCCCCATCTATAGGTAAAGGTAAAGGGACCCCTGACCATTAGGTCCAGTCATGACCGACTCTGGGGTTGCGGCGCTCATCTCGCTTTATTGGCCGAGGGAGCCGGAGTGCAGCTTCCAGGTCATGTGGCCAGCATGACTAAGCCGCTTCTGGCGAACCAGAGCAGCGCACGGAAACGCCGTTTACCTTCCCGCCAGAGCGGTACCTATTTATCTACTTGCACTTTGACGTGCTTTTGGACTGCTAGGTTGGCAGGAGCTGGGACCGAGCAACGGGAGCTCACCCCGTTGCAGAGATTCAAACCGCCGACCTTCTGATCTGCAAGTCCTAGGCTCTGTGGTTTAAACCACAGCGCCACCCGCGTCCCTTTTATAGTTTCCAGCAAATGGTATTCTGCCTCTGAGATCGCGATTGTGGCATTATTCCTAGATGCATACAGTGGTACCTCGGGTTACATACGCTTCAGGTTACAGATGCTTCAGGTTACAGACTCCGCTAACCCAGAAATAGTACCTCGGGTTAAGAACTTTGTTTCAGGATGAGAACAGAAATTGTGTGGCGGCAGCGGGAGTCCTCATTAGCTAAAGTGGTGCTTCAGGTTAAGAACAGTTTCAGGTTAAGAACAGACCTCCAGAACGAATTAAGTTCTTAACCCGAGGTACCACTGTATAAGGAAAAAATGGGACACCATTGTGTGCCAAATTCACAAGTTTTTATTTTGCTGCATGTAGGCATGCTTAAAAGCTGCTGCACACATTATTTCCACGTGGGAATGTTAGCTGTATTGCAGAACATGCTCTCCACTTATAATGGGTGACCACACCTTATGGTTAGGCCAAGGAGAATTTAGACAAGGATTTTGAAGGAGCAAAGTAATTTCACCTCTTCTGTCTGACATCCATGTATAGAAATAGCCATCCATTTGTTTCGATTTGATGGTCCTTTGCAGCGGCTTAAGCGGATACCACAATCAAAGAAACAACATGATAAGGAAACCAATAATATATCTGAAGCACTTAGCTGTGGAACAAATTTTTGTTTCAGCTCCGCCCCAGCTGACTCAGTGTCTGACTGTGGAAAGCTGCATATATTTTAAATGGCATTTAGAGACAGCATCTGAGGAAATGTTTTCACTGCAGGCTGGCCTGCTCCTACTAAGCACATTGTTAGTTTTTGCCCCTCACAACATCATTGTATCCTATTGTTACAAGGCACGTTCTAACCAATCGTATAAGAGTTGGTAGACGAACATTCTAATGACAAGTAAGCGCATGCACTTTTAACTGTCAACAGTCAGTCCATTGCTCGGGTTTATTATTGTGTTGTCCAGTCAGTTTGGTTCTTGTGTTCCTAAGAGTGAGCTGTTGTCACTGACAAATGTTGAATAAACTTAGTTGAGGAACTTCTACTGCCTTGGGCTTCTGACTTTTTCCGAATATTTAACTCCTATCATCAATTCTTTTACAATCTGTTTTGGCTGCTGTGACGCAAAGCAGAGAGGGAGGGAGAGTTAACCACTCTCTGTGGTGCAAAATAATGACGTTTCCATTGGTTCATCCTTCTCTACCAGTCCATAAATGTTGGACATTTGATTTATGGTGGGTCCCCTGTCCCCTCCAATATTCCAAGCCTTATACACAAGTACAGATGGAATAACCCACTTCTGGGAATCCCAAGCTGAAGGTAAAGGTAAAAGGTACCCCTGACTGAGGCTGAGGGAGCTGGCGTTTGTCTGCAGACAGCTTCTACCTACCCATCAAAAGTGACAGCAAGGGGTGGACCTTGTATCCCTGACAGCTGAATCACTTGGGCAAAGAGGTCCCTGTGTATACTACTAACTTAAACTGGTCCTGTTCAGAAGGGTTGGGTGAACATGGGAGTGGGGACCTGCACATGCAAATGCCTCCTTCCTGCCAACATTTGTTCTCCTGGGTGTGCAGATTTCAGGAAACAGGGTGAGCTGGTATGCATAAATTTGAGTGGTGTGCTTCGCAAAAGGTTCTGCTCATGCATTAATGCAACACATGAGCAAGACTTCTAATTACTACTTGTTCATGGTAAGAGGATTGGGGATCACCTTCGAGAGATTATTCTCAGCACCCTCATCAAACTACAATTTGCAAATGATTTCTGGGAAGCCACAACAAACATGCTGATTCAAAACCAATGTATGTTGGTAGTGCAGATCTGCCTTTTGCCTCTTCTGCAAGGCAGACTGTGCTGAGAGCCTCTTATAAAGGAGTAAAAATACTAATAAGCATGCATTAAGGTACCAGGCAGATGCCTCATTTCTGAAAAAATAAAATAAAATGGTCCAATGCTTTCTAGTTCTATAGATCCTCTATACCAGAGGTGGACTGGGTGGCACTGTGGGTTAAACCGCAGAGCCTAGAGCTTGCCGATCAGAAGGTTGGCCGTTCGAATCCCCGCGATGGGGTGAGCTCCCATTGCTTGGTCCCTTCTCCTGCCAACCTAGCAGTTTGAAAGCACATCAAAGTGCAAGTAGATAAATAGGTACCACTCCGGCGGGAAGGTAAACGGTGTTTCCGTGTGCTGCTCTGGTTCACCAGAAGCGGCTTAGTCATGCTGGCCACTTGACCCGGAAGCTGTACGCCAGCTCCCTCGGCCAATAAAGCAAGATGAGCGCCATAACCCCAGAGTCGTTCGCAACTGGACCTAATGGCCAGGGGTCCCTTTACCTTTACCTACGGTACCAGGCAGATGCCTCATTTCTCAAAAAGTAAAATAAAATGGTCCAATGCTTTCTAGTTCTATAGATCCTCTATACCAGAGGTGGGAAACCTTTTTTTGCCTGAAGGGTCATACATGGTTATGGGAGGGTGCTCAGGGTTTGGGTGGCAGTGAGTGCGGCTGGCAAATGAGATGGCCATGTGTCCCTGGTCCTGAAAGTGCTGAACAGACTGCCAGTGAGCTACTGGGCCCAATTCAAGGTTTTAGTTCTAGCACACAAATTCCTAAATGGCTCAGGGACCTAAGTACCTAAAAAAGTGTCTTCCCAGATTTCAGCCATCCTACAACCAGCATGGTGCTGTCACTGAGCTGCCCAGTTGGTGCTGACCAATAACAGGGCCTCCTAAGTGGTGGCTCCCCATTTGTGGAATGCCCTCCCTGGTGAGGTGTGTCTCTCCCACATTAGTGACTTTCAGCCTGAGGGATACTGTTCCTGGCAGCCCTGAAATCACCAGCTGAATTCCCAATGGCAACTAATATTACCCAACCCCCTCCCTGCAGAATGTTTGTAATTATTTAGCAGCAGAAAGGCAGGCTGACATTCAACCGCCGCAGAGTTTCACCTGTTGATTCTGCGCCACCCACATCTTATACAGGTGCACATCTAGATGTCTAGCTGTAGATCTATCCTGCAAAATTCTCATTATGCTATTTGAGGGATAGGAAGTTTCCTTTCCCTTGACCTCACAGCTGAAAGCCCTGGATTGCAGGAAGCATCACAACTGGCTCTTGAAAGCAGTAGCTTTTTTTACGAGGCATCCCAGACATCTTTAACCAGCGGTAGATGGAAATGGCATACAAGCCACCAGGTGGTGCTCATCAGGAAAGCTTAAGGGCACTGCAGAAGGGAGATAAAGAACCCCATTGTTCCCCCCAATATTTATTATACGGTAGAAAACAAAGCCAGAGTGTGTCTGATTGTTGTGATGAGAGCCGGGGCGGCAGCATTGTGTAGCTGCGCCAAGAAATGTGAATGGGGATTGTCCTTGAGCCATAAAGCAGTCACTTTGATCCTCCCTGCTTTCCTCTCCTCTGTCCATACAAGAGAACATTGGTAGATATGCAGTCTCATAACTGGCATGCAATTCCACTTGGCTTCTATACAGAAACCCCTTCATTGCTATCCTACAACCAGCAGCTTCTTCTACTAGATTCTAAACCTTACA